CCTTACATAATTGGCCTTCTGCAATGTACTTTATGTATTTCCTTGGATTGGTGACAACTTCTCCTTTTCTATTCCATGAAACAGCCTTCTTCATTTAGCTATTATTATGACAAATGCCTCAATGCAGCGGTGCTAAACATGTGAGCTGCAGGCTGGATTTGACCCCTAAAGCAATTGGATCTGGCCATGGCACAGGGGAACAGCAGCAAGCAGCTCAGCCCAACACACCCCCTTTCCTATCTTGTGCCATGCCACATATTCTCTCCACAGCTATCCCACTTTGACATTGGCAGCAACCTGTCTTCCCTCCTCCCTCATCCCACTGGATGAGATAGTGAGGTGAGCTGTGGTGTAGCCAGGTTACAAGCAACCCATTCTAAGGGGTTGAGCACCACTGTCTTATAGCAGGATTTGGCAGCCTCTTTCGAACAGAAGCTGGAGGTTGCAGATAATCCATGGCTGCAAGCCAGCTGTCTAAACTCACTCTTGTGGAAAATACCTGACCTATTAGCGAAGGAAGTATAGGCACAGTAGCACAGCTGGCTCCACATCTAAGAGGAGTACTGCAGAGGAGATGGGTGGCATGGCACAGCTTCCTGCTACCAATCCCCCATGCCAGATTTGTCCTCTCTGGGCAGGATCAGACCTCTTTACAAGCTGGAACTGGCCCACAGGCTGTAGATTGCCAACCCCTGCCAGACTGTCAGGGCTACAATTAGGAGCAGAGGGATTGGCAACATGTCACCCCTATTTGTTTGGCTATACAAGAGTCACCCACTCTGGAGTCTTCTTGCTCTTTCTCCCCATTTCTTCTCTCTTTAAAATAGGAAACCAGGAAGCAAGCAGTGGGCCATAATGCACAGTTGGGGAAAAAGAGGTCTTATACTGTATGATAATAGAGAGAGGAAATTGCATGCACATAAATCTGCAAAGGAGCAGTACAGGAAAAAACAATCATGCTTCTCTTAATTGCAGTATCTCTGCTACTTTTCCAAAGCTCTATAACTATGTACTACTTGCAAATAGGCTTTGGGCATAAAAAATCACAATGTAACCCTTGGGAGTAATTTATCATGACTTGTTTTCCTTTATATAGAAACAGCATGCATCTAGGGGATGGAGCACAGGAGCTGGGAGCCAGCATTCCTGGATTCCTTTTCTGATCATTTTGATCTCCCCAAAGGCAGGTGTAGATGGTCATTACCATCTGGAAATCAGTGTTCCTTCTCTACCAAAAGTAATTCACTTGTTAGGGATCATGCTAAACCCCAGAAAAGGCTATAGTAAATTAAACCTTACTCAGGAGCAAGAAGGGAATCCAAGGAGAATTTTGTGTCTGTCTGTCTGTGTTTCTTCCTAGAATAGTCCTATATGATAAAACAAGCAAAAAAGGCACACAGCCCTGCAGAGTAAGTTATAATGGTATAGTCATATGAATCCAAATCCTACACAGTCTTTTAATTCATTTTAAATTAGTTTTCCAAATGCGAAGGAAAAATATGGTGTTATCCATCTGTTTACCATATGTGGTGTGTGGAGAATTACATACTTTTTACTGAAAATACTTCAGAAGATTGTGAGTAAATCCACAGATTTTAATGGCTTTTCAATATTGAAAGTGCTATTCATTTTGCTGTGTGATTGCTTTAATGGGACACTTATACATAATTGAACACCTGACGTTGTTCTCCCTTTCTCTTTTCTTTCCAGAACAAATTATGACATCAACATCAAAAGGAATTTTTCGGCCATTTTTAATTATCCTCATTGTCCTGGGTTGTTTCATGGCATTTCTGCTTATTTACATCAAACCAACAAACAGCTGGATCTCTGGTCCTATAGAGTCTGCCAGCTCAGTTTTGAAAATGAAAAGCTTCTTTTCTCCAAAAAATGATAATTTTAATGAAACTACTATATTGATCTGGGTTTGGCCCTTTGGTCAAACATTTGACCTTGCATCCTGTCAAACAATGTTCAACATCCATGGGTGCCATCTGACTATTGACCGCTCATTATATAACAGATCCCATGCCGTTCTCATTCACCACAGAGACATCAGCTGGGATCTGACTAATTTACCTCAGCAAACTAGACCACCATTCCAGAAATGGATCTGGATGAACTTGGAGTCTCCAACTCACACTCCACAAAAGAGCGGCATTGAACACCTTTTCAACTTGACCCTGACTTACCGACGTGATTCAGATATTCAGGTGCCTTATGGCTTCATGATGGTTAGTACAACTCCATTTACATTTGAAGTCCCAAGCAAAGAGAAGTTGGTCTGTTGGGTTGTAAGTAACTGGAATCCTGAGCATGCTCGAGTCAAGTATTATAATGAGCTTAGCAAATACATTGAAATCCATACCTATGGGCAAGCATTTGGAGACTATGTGAATGATAAAAACTTGATTCCAACTATCTCCACTTGTAAATTTTACCTTTCCTTTGAAAACTCAATCCACAAAGATTACATTACGGAAAAACTGTACAATGCTTTTCTTGCTGGGTCTGTACCAGTGGTACTGGGCCCATCCCGAGAAAACTATGAGAATTATATTCCAGCAAACTCTTTCATACATGTGGAAGATTTTCTTTCCCCCAGAGAGCTAGCAGAGTATCTGCTGATGCTTGACAAAAATAACAAACTGTATCTTAGCTACTTTAAGTGGAGGAAGGACTTCTCAGTGCATCTTCCCAGGTTCTGGGAATCACATGCATGCCTTGCTTGTGACCATGTAAAAAGACACCAGGAGTACAAGTCTGTTGGTAACTTAGAAAAATGGTTTTGGAATTAAACTTTTACCCCTTTGTGCACTTTTTGGAAGAAGCTGACCGAATCATCAGTCTACACATACATGGAGGGGCTGGAGAAGAGAACTTTCTGTGTTTTATGTCACAGTTTATCAACTATCTTCTCTTGAGTATCTTCTCTTGAGTATCTTATTTATATTTGTCAGAGACTTTAAAAGCTCAGCATCAGCAGTCATTAAAACTCAGTTTTAAATTACAATGTATATAGCTAATTATGTGCACTGAAGAATAATTTATTGTTTACTATAATTTTTAAAAAGGTTTTTCACACTTTCCGTCGAATATCTGTCCCAGTCCTAACACATGAAGTAGTGATTTTTTAACATTGTGTTTTTACATTAGATTAGAATAGCTGTTTAACTTGTTTGGAAAATGAAGACACAAATCTTGAAATAGAGAATTTTAATGAAATAATCTAATGGTTTTGTTTGAAAATTGTGTAATATTTCAAAAGACAGTGTTGTTTGTTATGTTTTAAACTCTACCCTCTTAAATTCTAAGAACACTGTAAAACTGAATGCATAGTGTTATTCAAGGAGTAGGAGCTGACTTCATAGGAGCTACGAATTTAGAAATGTAGCTTTAAAAATGCTTACAGTATAAGAAAGCCTCTAGTTTCTAAACAGGAAGATGTCAGTCTCCTAAAGTTAACATGTCTTGAAAGTATATTTATCTTCTTTACATGAAGTATTGAAGTGCTAAGGAAAATCAAGCTTTGGCTCATCCAAGGTGCAAAGCACATGTTTAGATTTAATTTAAGCAAGTGCTTAAATCCAGTTGTGTTTACTTGAATCACGGCAGCAACAGGTGATGTTATTTCAATAACAGTTAAATTACATGTGCTTGATCACTTTCATCTTTATAACTAGAGCTCTGCTAATAATCATAATTATTAAAAATAATTTTATTTAGATGATTTACTAATGTTTATATATTTGGGAATTATTCATCCAGCTCTATAAAGGCTTCTTACAAGTGTCATTGAACTTTAATCATACATGGGGTACATACTGAGGTGGGTGAATAATGACAACAAATATTACCTGAACATTTTTATTACAAAAAATGATGGAATTCATTGAATAAATTTTAGGGTAATATTAGTCAGCCAGCTCTACTGATCATATAGGCTCAGTTATTTATTTTCTCCTTTAAAATTATGTAATATGACAAATGAAAACAAAAGTATTCATTGGAGCAATAGATACTACCAAGTTTTGAATATAAGCATTATATTTCATAAATATTATGTTTTTCTGATAGAAAATACTCAAATATAATTTTGTCATTATCATTTTAAATGTACCTGTTAATATGTGAATCATCTGGGTTCATGATCCTTTGACCTTCAGCAGCTAAGATTTAAAACCTGAGTACTATACAGAGTCATATATGTGGTGTTGGTTTAATAATGCATATTTCATGGCTATGAGATGGACTACATAATTTTAAATGGCAAAATATGCTTACTACACACATTTTTCACTAACTTGCAGGCAGGTCTTAGCACCAAGCCTTTTTTATTTTGGGATTACTTAAATTATATTTGAATTTATGAATTTATGAATATATATTTTTAAAGCTGCAAAAAGGAGCAGAGGAACCTAAAAGGGATTGCCTATTGAAAGAAAAATGTTTTTAAAGGAACATTCTGAAAGGCAAGATTCTCAGTTGGTGTAAATTAGCATATTTACATTCGCAGTTACCAGCCGAACATCTGGTGCAAACTGCTCAGACCCATGCATTTAATTTCCTAAGATAAGGAAAGTGCATGCAGAAATCTTGCGTTATGCCCAAAATAATGAAAGATTCCCTTTATGTCTGTTTTAACCTAAAGTATTTCCAGCCGTTAATGAAATGTACAAAAAGAGGACAAATGTAGAAAAGGAAGACAGTACAAATATTTGCACTGGCTAAAGTTCTACTTGAATAATATTTAAGTCCTGTCCAAAAAAAGTGCTTAAGCATATGCCTAGCTTTAAGCATGTGTACTTTCCATGAGCAGAAAGAGATAATTAGTCTTAAGTCAGACAGAAAGCAGGGTAGAGATGCACCTTACAGACTAACTGAATCAGACACACATAGCTTTTTTGTACTGGAGCTCACTTCATCAGATTCACTGGAAAGCATTTGATGAAGTGGGCTCTTGCTCACAAAAGCTTATACATCTATGATCCAGTTACTCTATAAGGTACCTCTCTACCCTGTCTTTTTAAGTTCTTTGTTAGGGTTAAATCTGTGGCAGCTACCGACTTTTATAATAAACATTTGGTGAATGACAAGTTGATTTCTCAAGTAGCTCTTTGTAATCCAGGCTAGGACCCAAACATTGAATGGTATAAAAACATTGCAATTATGCTTCTAACATAGAAAACTGAAATGAAAAGGCCCTAGAAATAGGGACCAGAACTGATCTTCTGCATAACATTTCAAGAGCTGCTTGTATGGTTCAGGTATGTATTTATACTGTATTTATTCCTGAGTCTTAAAAGGCTTACTTACAAGACACTGTGAGTCACTAACTCACCAGCACTGTAGTATGAAATAAAAAATGAGAGTTCATCCTAATCATTAATCTAATGGAATTAAATTCAATCTTGAAATACAATTGTTATCTAAAAATAGAACTCATGCACATGTAAAACTTTGGGATGATATTGTGTACAAATGATGACATTTCAAGGTACTATCGGAGATGCTTTCCATGACTTCTGTTTTCAGGAGATGTGTAAAATTCATGACTGTTTAAAATAACAAATTCCTTTGAAGTAATTTTTGTGACCTTATGTGAGTCTCAGCACTGACCTCAAGAGGAGCTGGTTCAACCCCTTTGGTGAACTATACAAACTGTTTAATCCCATTCACCCATTTTAGCTAACTGAAGCTGTGTTACTTGAAGCTTGAAGTTGCTAATTGAAGTTGTTAAAAAAACCTTGGATCAAATCAAAGTCAGTCAATCAGTTCCCGGGCTTCAAGATTCAACAGCTCTGTACTTCGAAGCCACACTAATAGCAAGCAACAAGAAAACGGATATGAGAAGGTATACAGCTTGTTGCTACAGAAACAATATGAAACCAATCCAGAAAAGCATTTAAGTGTACACTTAATTTTAGGAACATGAATGGTGGTGTTGCATCAGGCTCAGTGAGATTATTTACATGTTTAAAGTTAAAAATTCAAGACAGCGGTTTGCCTGCAGTTCTATCTTCTGCATATTTTCACACAATCCTGAAGGTTCAGACTCAAGGAATAATAAATAAATAGGAAAGAAACTAAGTGAGCCACTAATTATAAACAAATCTTTAAAACACAGTGCCACTATCCTAATAGATTTCTGGAAAGTTATGCCAGGACATGGGCAAGACAGCTAAACCTATCATGAGCCTGGCACCTATGAACTTAGCAATTGTGAAGCTGAAGTCTTTCTGTCCAGAAGCAGACATTTAAGCATAACTTGCATAAACTTAAGGGCCTACAAACTTTATACACCTCCAGGCCAAGTACAGACAGTCAAAAAACCCAAGGCTGAATTGTTTCAATCTTCACAGGTTAGTCTAAGCTGCATAGATTGAACCAATAAGCAAGTAAACAGACATTCACTTTTGATTCTAGAAATGCAGCCACATGTATGCAGCGGCCCAGGCCAGAAGCTGGGGGGGCACTGTTTCAGTGCAAGCATTCAGTCATCTTTTATTTTCCAGTCTGGCATTGTTTAACTTTATACTGGATGTGTCTATTAAGTCAAATGAATAAACTCCGGTGCAGTTCATGGCAGACTTTCTTGCTCCTGGACGCCATGTTTACATGTGCGCCTGGAACAGCAACACATTGAGCCGAGTTGCCCCGAGTTGCCAGCAGACAACCTGGGGATCAGCCTGCCAGCTGGGGGCTGCTCTGACCCAGCTCAATGTGCTGTAGAGGGGCTGGCTAGGGCATGAGGGTGCTTCAGTGCAATGCTAGCTGGCAGGCAGACCCCACAGTGAAGCACCCTCATGCCCCAGCCAGCCCCGTCAGTGTCTACATGTGTGTTGCAGCACATTAAATAACACTGCCATGAGCTAATACTTGTGTTGACACCTACAAAAGTGTTGTTTATTAGCTTCCTGCAGCCTAATAGGGCCACACATGTAGATGCTGAGACTATTGCAGAGCTAATTAGTCTATGCCCGCAGTAAACATCTTGTGTAAGTGCACCTGTTTCCTCAGCAGTCAATGCAATATAGTTTAATGACATCTTTTACAAACCATGGTTTTCAAAACTATGCTTGCATACCTTACTCATTTCTTTGTAATGACTTTTTTGGACATTACTAGACTTATCATCATACCCTGAACAATCAGCACATTTGCCTTCATCCTTGTAGAAAATAGGATCCCTCCTCCCAAAAAACTTAATTATGGAATGCATTCTCAGTGCATTCATTGTGAACAGCTACCACATCTTTCTAAAACAGTCTTTTTCTTTCATTTCCCAGTCATTCAATAGCATTGCAGCTCATATTTCATATGAGATTTCCTTTTCTTAGAGATCCCTCGTTGCTAGGTCTTTGAATACGCTTTTGCCACCTGAGATGGTTGTAATGAACAAGAAGCTTGCATGTGGCATGCTGAATTTAAGATAGCCAAAGCCAGGCATTTTTTTCAAACAGAGAAGAAGAATATTGTGTTGATGGAGATGAATGCAGATTAAGTATATAATGAATGAAGAAAGTATGTAGAATGTGTAGTGTTGGTTAACTCATAGTAAAGTTAGTCCATGTTTCTGTATATTCATATTAGTCTCTAAAAATGGAAACACAAGATGTGTAATTCTCTTCCATCTCTTCCCTTACCTGAAAAGGTTGGTTCCTGTGTGAAAGGCAGAATGAGACAGAAGCAGCGCTAGCATTTTTGGCTCCCTGGGCAGAAGAACAGGGGTCAGAGCAGGCTCAGGTTTGGGTGCTAGAGAGCAGGGAATGCTGAGCTGCTGTTTCCTATGGTACATGTTGCCCATGCATTGGTAGGGGGTGCACACGGGTGCATGTGCATCCCCTGAGATTGGCAGTGCAACCCTAAGATTGGTTGCCACCAAGCTGCCGGTGGCACCTGTGGGTGGTTGCCATTCGCAACCTCCCCACCCTTGCCACCAACACTGCCAGTGGTATATGCGGGCAATCACTGATTACTGCTGGCTGCTGCTGCTGGCAACGTCTGCGGATGGTCACCAATCGCCAGCTGGTGCTCGCTACCCCTCCCAACAACCAACACTGCTGCGGCTGCCTGTGGAAGCTCCCTGCTCCCCACTGCCACGTCCCCACCACCACCACTGCTGCCACCTGCAGGCAGTCGACATGCTCCCCCAGCCTCAGGAGGCACACGACGTTCATGTCCGCATAAGCTGCCATTCTCATTCCCCTGGTACATCAGTGCCCAGGGCTCCTGCCCCACACACCCTGCCTTTCATATGCTATTGGAATGAGAAGGATCAATTAAGGTACTAACATTGTTGCTGACTATGAACTCATATTGCTGATATTGTCATTATGTTATCTCTTTTATTGGATTACAAGACATTAATATTGGGAAGCAACTCGTTAACTGATTACTGTACATTTATGACAGAATTGGCCCTTATTCTGACCTGACTTTAAAAATGTTGGCTTTCCTGAGTTAACCTGATTCAAGACTCTGTTCAGCAAAGTACTCCAGATCCTATTCAACAAAGAGTACAATCATAGTCCTGTTGCCATCAGACTCAGTCAGGAGATTTAAAACCTTAAATGCTTTAATGAATTGGGGCCTCTAATGTGCTGAACTAAATTCAGGCATTCACATGCTTAAAGGTAAAAGTGAAAGTTAAGCATGCACACAAGTGCTTTTCTGGGTCATAGAGCATTGTAAGAGAAGAATCAAGATGGATGCTTTTGTCAGACTCAAGTTTTTTAGTCAATATTAAAACTGATGGTTCTGGCTGTCCATTCACTAGCATGATATGAAATGGTAATTTTACTTGGTAGTATGATAGCTAAGAAATCTCATAGGTTTCAAAGACTGCAGCTCTTTCAGCCTGATCTTTCACTTCTTACTCAGGCAAAACTCTAATCAGAGTCGATACGAAATTTGCCAAGTTTAGGAATGCAGGATTGGACCCTCTAGTTGTCTGATGGTTACATTTCTGCTTCAGCATTTTCTTTGTGTTTAAAAATGGGAACAAATGGCTCTAATGCTAATTCGTGATTTTGCCCTTAGAAAGGGCATGCAGGATTGTTAGACATATTCCTGAGAGTTATAAAAAT